TCAGGTGTGATGGGGTGTTCAGGGCTTGCTATATTGGGAGAACTGGGTACTGATGATGCCAAGAAACTTTGGTTTCTGTTGCTTATGTTCTTGCGCTTGCCTTTCGCCATCTGGTTAACTCTAATGTTGCCTGCCCTCACTGTGTAAGACTGGAGTCTGTATTTCCAGTTATCTTGCTTGTTGCAGAGCTCCTCAGAGTCCAGATGTCTCTGTAGTCTTATGGTTCTAATCTTGGTGTCTGCTGCTCTGATTGCAGTGGCTCCTCTGCTGCTCTGAGTGCAGTGGCTCCTCTAGGATGACTCAGGAGTCCGTATCTCCACAGGACAGGAGTAGATCAACTCAGTGTCAGCTGCTCTTAGTACAGTGGCTCCTCAGCTGCTCTGAGTGCAGTGGCTCCTCGGCCGCTCTGAGTGCAGTGGCTCCTCTAGGATGACTCAGGAGTCAGTATCTCCACAGGACAGGAGCAGACCAATTCTGTGTCTGCCCCAGCCCACAGGACCAGGAAGGGGAGGAAGGGAAGTGGAATTCCGGAGGGGCGGGGTTTGGGTAGCTGCTGTGCCCTGAATGGCCCTGGCTCCCAGATGTATCTCTGGGGCTTAGGGAGTGAGATGGAGTTCTTACCAGCTGCTCTGAGTGCAGTGGCTCCTCTAGGATGACTCAGGAGTCAGTATCTCCACAGGACAGGAGCAGACCAACTCTGTGTCTGCCCCAGCCCACAGGACCAGGAAGGGGAGGAAGGGCCTCCCTGCTATTCTTAAGATGATATGGTACTCTGCTTTGAATCTATCTGCAGTTGCTAAGCAGGATCTTGCAGTTGCCAAGCTTCAGAGGACATTGTGCAGGTGGGGAAAGGTAGGGGGTGAGGGTAAGGGCGAGGGTCCTGGCTTCTGGCATCTCCCCCTTCTCTGTTTAGTTAGAGAAGGCATCTTATGATCAATCCCAACTATGTTAATTTTGAATTTGGCCTAGCGACTCTTAATGGGCCCAGAGAGTAAATAGAGATAGATGGTATCAGTTTAAACCAACCTTTTTTTAAAGAAAAAGCTGTAGTCACCTGATTTTGTCTCCACTTAATAAACACACTCATTATATCTTTTTATTTTTAAAATTGTTTTATTTATTTATATTCCAAACATTGCCCCTGTTTCCTGTCCCCCCCCTCCAAGAGTTCTTCAACCCACCCCCACCCTCTTCGCCTTGGAGAGAGTACTCTCCCTCTACCCAGCACCCTTTTTCCCTGGAGCATTAAGTTTCCACAGGATTAGGCACATCATCTCCCACTGAGGCCAGACAAGGCAGTCCTCTGCTATGTATTTGCTGGGGGCCATGGACCAGCCTGTGTGGACAGTGGCTTAGTCTCTGGGAACTCCCAAGGGTCCAGGTTAGTTGACACTGTTATTCTTCCTATGGGGTTCCCATCCCCTTCAGCTCCTTCAGTCCTTCCCCTAACTCTTCCATAGGAATCCCCAACCTCAGTCCAATGGTTGGCTTCATTATGTTTTTAAAATGTGTTTATTACTGGGAGGGATATGCATGTGAAAGCTCAGAGGACAACTTGGCCAGAGTCTGTTCTCTCCAGCATGTATGTATCAGTTATCAAACTCACATTCTAGGGCTTAGCGGAAAGCACCTTTAATTCTAAACCTTTTTACCAACCTTCAATATCTTTTCTTATAATTAACAAAATTACAGTTTCTCACAGCAAATGAATCACTTATTTGATTATTTTAAATAAAGTCACCAAAAGAATTTTGTTAGTATCAAATAGTACCATCTTTTCACTTTTGCTTTTAAGTTGAACTGTAGGAGTGCCATTTTGGTGCTAAAAGCAGCCAACCATAGTTGGGTCACAGAGATCAGCCTGTAGATGGGATTTCTGAAGCTTCAGTATGCCTGCTTCTGCTCCCTTTACTTCCAATGTGATGCTGGGCACATTTGTTCTTTTGAAGGCGGTATTTGAGGACAGGAAATATTTGAAATCACTTAATGCAATTATGTTTTTAAATTAAGAAAATAAGTCGGAGGCTAGAGAGATGGCTCAGCAGTTAAGAGCACTGGCTGTTCTTTCAGAGGTCCTGAGTTAAATTCCCAGCAACCACATGGTGGCTCACAACCATCTGTAATGGGATCTGATGCCCACTTCTGGAGTGTCTGAAGACAGTGATAGTGTACTCATATACATAAAATAAATTAATTAAAAAAAAAAGAAGTAGTCAGAAGTTCTCCAACTATTAGTCTTCTAGTGACACTGCCTGAGACATTATAGAGAAGAACTTCTGAATATATTTTTGATGATCTACTTGCTTATAAACAGGCATGACACAATTTTTTTTCAATCAAAGTTGGAAAGGGAATAGGAGGCAGTTCTCAAATTCTTTTCCTTTTTTTTGTTTTTTTTTTTTTTTTTGGTTTTTGTTTTTTGTTTGTTTGGTTGGTTGGTTACAGAGACAGGGTTTCTCTGTATAGCCCTAGCTGTCCTGGAACTCACTCTGTAGACCAGGCTGGCCTCAAACTCAGAAATCCGACTGTCTTTGCCTCCCAAGTGCTGGGATTAAAGGCGTGCTTTAACTCTCAAGTTTGAAGGAAACCTTAAACAAACCTTTGAGACTCAGGTCTATTGAGTTCTATAGCACACATCTTGCACAGGCCTTTGGGATGCGTAGCACATGACTTACTCAGGCCTTTAGGATACATACAGTACATCTTACTGTGTCTTGTTGTTCTTGAAAGAAACATGAGCTCTGCTGGCCCTGATGGGAGGAAGATGATGAGAAGGTGTGATGGTCTCATTGACTCATTGGTCCATTATGTCAGAGGAACTATTGCAGACTACCAGCCAGATGATAAGGTAACACAACAGTTAACTTTCCTCATGCCAAATTACCCACTGTGACTTACTAAGATGCTTCAAATATTAAAATAATTGCTTGGGTGTAGTTTTATTCCTCTACTTACTTGCTAAGGCCAGAGTTTTCATTAGATGCTTAGGCACTTAAATTTTCTTTTTTTTTTTTCCAAGATAGGGTTTCTTTTTTGTAGATCTGGTTGTCCTGAAACTAGTTCTGTAGACCACGCTGACCTCGAAGTCACAGAGATCCACCTGCTTCTGCTTCCTAAGTGCTGGGATTAAAGGGGTGAATCACCAGTACTCAGCTAACACTTAAATTTTCTTTTTTTTTTTTTTTGAACATGAAATGCTTTTTTATAGCATGTTTTACAAGGGGAGGGGGTAAGAGGGTCCAGGTGGTGGAAAAGTACAAAATCTTCTTGGCCTGTGCCTTGAAACATGTCATGGTCTATATGGTACACTGCCTTGAATTATGATCTACCTGCAGTTCTTCAGAAGATATGGTACACTGCTTGAGTTATGGTCTCCCTGCTATTCTTAAGAAGACATGGTACTCTGCTTTGAGTCTATCTGCAGTTGCTAAGCAGGATCTTGCAGTTGCCAAGCTTCTATCTAGCCTTAGGCTAGAAGTTTTTCAGAGCCAAATTTCCAACAAACATTCTAACAACTCAGTTTCCATCGCCACGATCTTCTTTCTAATCTTTCTAATGCTAGCTTATTCATGGCTGGAGATTATAGGCCAGTGGTAACACGCTGGCCTGACATGTATAACGTCTTACCTAGGTTCTTTCTGTACCACTGTCTATAGAATGGACTGAAGACTAGATGGCCAAGTGAGTTATCACCGTTTGTCAAGAGAATCTGAATGACTTTGTGCTGCTCCTCTGCCCTGAGGCCCTGCATGCACAGCCACTTCTCCAGTGCCATATCTGCTGCTTACATTTGTGTGTCCTTTACACTAGTTGCTATAGTAGCCTCCTAATTGGTCACTATAAGCAGTATCATATCTTATTCCCATCTTAGCCAATTTATGTATGTGAAGTTTGAAGTTGTTCTGGATATATGTGGTTTTTTAAAAAATATGCTGAGGGGCTCAAATATAGCTCAGTGGCAGAATGTTTGTGCACTGTGAAAGAAGCCCTGGGTTCAGTCCAGATATGTTTTCAAAGGAGCTTGGGGGAGGCTACCATCATTTTAAGTAGTTTGGATTCCGTTTTAGCATAGTACTCCTGACCATTCATTCATGTTCTAACATTAGCCATTCCAGAAGCCTAAACAACTTTGTCATCTGAAAGGGACATCAGTATGTGTATGAGCAGTATTCATGTTCTGTTTCCTCAGGCCACAGAGAACTGTGTGTGCATTCTTCATAACCTCTCCTACCAGCTGGAGGCAGAGCTCCCAGAGAAATATTCCCAGAGTATCTACATGCAAAACCGGAATATCCAGAGTAACAGTAGGAAAAGCGTTGGGTGTTTTGGCAGCCGAAGTAGGAAAGTAAAAGAGGTATGGTGGGAGATCATTAAGAGACCGTGGGTCGTAGATGGGGACAAAGGGGGCATAGGGGCTCTGATTCCTGTGTTCATGTTGGCTACTGTTTCAGATTATTTTAGTTTTCACATCAGTCCTCCCATGAGGCTTCACCAGGAAGTGTGTTCCTTTAGGAACAGAAAAGCTCATTAGTTTTCCTACATTAATTCAGTGTATGGGTGCCGAGGATAAACTTTAGTCCCCACTCATCCAGCTCTGGGTTTGTGCTGTTAGTTGTTAAAGCATGCTGCCCTATGTCCTTTGTGGGACACAGCCATTGTCTGAGCATAACTTGAAGCCTAAAAATAGAACATGAACACATTAAGAGCAAATTTCCTAGGAAGATGCATATCTCTTTCAAAACTAACATAAAAATGGAAAAAAAACAAAGGAAACGACCATGTTTTTAGTGTTGTGGTATTCTTGAATTTGGAAAATGGCTGGTAAATTTAGACCCTTGATACTATTCCAAACCACTCTATAAGCATCTGAGGAAGCAGACTTGTTTTGCTTGTCTTCAAAGTAATGGAGACCATTTAGAATTTAGGCTAAATGCACTGGAAAACATTTTAGAAGGACCTATATTTAATTCCCATACTGTGATGTGTAAAGTTGAAAAATGTGAGTTTCTTAGAAATCAATAATTAGGGGCTGGAGAGATGGCTCAGTGGTTAAGAGCACTGACTGCTCTTCCAGAGGTCCTGAGTTCAAATCCCAGCAACCACATGGTGGCTCACAACCATCCGTAATGAGATTCGATGCCCTCTTCTGGTGTGTCTGAAGACAGCTACAGTGTACTCATAAATAAAGTAAATAAATCTTTAAAAAAAAAAAAAGAAATCAATAATTATTCTGAGCTAATATACTGTTTTTGTGATTTGTTAGTCTTTCTAGACAGTGTTTCTTTTTTTTATTTAATAATTTATTTATTTTTTTCAAATTGTAATTCATTCACACAGGGGTTATAAACACAGAAAGGCAGGATGTGGGGAAGGGAATGACACTGGAGTGTCAGTGTTCAGGGGGAGTACAGATATCTTTCAGAACAGGGTATTGGCTGGGTGAAAGTTCAGGGGACAGATCACTATGACTTTGCCTATGATTCACTTGTCCTTATCTAAGTTGGTTTTGTCTGCCAAGGCTACCTATTTACAAGGTCTATGACTACTCAGGCTAGTAAATTTCCACAAAAGCTGCCTGTTTACAATAGCTTATAGCCATCTATTCCAGTGTTTTTTCCACAGAGACCCAAGACTTGGTGTTAGTATACATTTATGACAGGCCTATTGCTGATTTTAGGCCTATGACTGGTTTTAGGCCTATGGCTGATTTTAGGCCTTCAGTGTGTAAGCAGGGATGTCCCTGACATCTCCTCCCTTCTCTAAGTATAGAAGGGCTGTGACGATTCTAATCTTGCAAAGGCGACGATAGAGGCCTGACCTCCAGTAATTGAAGGGGACCTTGTAATGCTAGACAGTGTTTCTAGTCTTGTCAGTATGTTTGCAGATTGTAGGTATCACTCTGTGTTTTTCCTCTGTGTATATTTAGCAATACCAAGACATGCCGATCCCAGAGGAAAGGAGCAGTCCCCGTGGCATTGAGTGGCTGTGGCATTCCATTGTGATAAGGATGTATTTGTCCTTAATTGCCAAGAGTTCCCGAAACTATACCCAAGAAGCATCACTGGGGGCTCTCCAGAACCTCACAGCAGGAGGTGGCCCGGTAAGACTTGTGCCAGTTTTTCTACTTCTTGAAATGAGGTCACATGTCTAGCTCAGGTACAGAGATGAAGCAACCAGGCAGAAGCAAACGTTCCCTTATTCCAGCCAAAACAAGTCTCAGATACCACAAAGACTTTTAGCCTTCCACCGCCTTCAGCCTCAATGTCTGTGCAGCTGTGTCAGACTACACTTACAAGTAAACTACACAGTGGCTTTTATATTGCTTAGTTCTTCTTTCATTACAGACCTCAGATCACTGTTTCAAGCTAGTTGAGAAAAATACAGAGAGGGAAAGGAAGGAATTTCTCATATCATGGAACTCAGAGGTTTGGCGTGGGTTTCTTTTCCTTCATAATTAGTCTTGAATACCTCATTCCACAGGAAATGAGGATAGCTTGGAATGGCTCTAGTATATATCTTATAAACCTGGCGTCCTTACAAGTAGTGCTATTAAGAACTCAGCAAATGTGTCTCACTAGTCCCGTCTGTATCTCTGTTGGGCTTTGGAAAGAGACTGTGATGTTAATTGTCCCTGCCTGGGTAAAGTGCCCTGGGTACAGGTTTGCAGTGACTGGGGTCACTTGCCGAATGCTTCCTCACAGAAAGTCAATGTTTATACCAAAAGAAGCAGTATGTTCATTCTTTGTAGGTAAAAACACAATGTCTACAATACGATGAGATTTGAAAGGACACCAGCATGTCTGTGTCTTGGAAACCCACCCACAACGCAGAGCTCATTCTCTTTCCCAATTACTTACTTTTTATCATCAAAGCATATAGCAGAAGGTTATTGCCTATACCGTGCATTGTGTGTATATTATGTACTCATATATTCTATTTTAAATCATTATTTGAACTAAGCTTATAGTACCTTGCTCATAAAGTAAGCACTCCAAAATAGTTCATTATATAGCTGGTCTTCAGTTATATATATCCACAGATAAAAACATCCTTTGAGGGAACGGAAGCATTTGAGGAAGTGTATTGACTTCCTATTGTAAGTGTCTTCATATAGAAGCTTATTTGTTTTAAATAAAACTGTGAAATGATAGGGTCCCCATACCATTGCACTGTGGTTGAGAATACAGAAATG